AAAAATGTCATTAGATTTCATGATATATCTATTTTATTATTATATAAAACCAAGATAATAATCTTTTATTCAATACAGTAAAATTACGTTTATCGTTCTAATGCATTGGTGCACTTCTATGCAATAGGTACTACTAGTATTTTCTACTCCCGAATAATTCATTGGGTTTTATTATTTTATGAAAGTTGTTTTTATTATTGTTTTTTATTTATTTATATAATATTTTAAATATTAATCAAATTAAAATGAGTGACAATTTATTGAACAATGAATCAGAAATTCAACGAATTTTAAGTATACCGATTGAAAGCGACGATGAGTTTGCTGATATTGGTCTAAGTGATGATGAAAATTTCGAATTGCCCGTAAGTTACTTATTTTTATTTTCATGAGATGCTAGTATTTTATTATATTTAGGATTTGTTATTTCATAATTAGGAATTATTTGCAAATGACGACCGCATTTTAAATGAGGATGTAGACAATGCTGATAATATAATGAACTATCCCGTGTATTTTTCTGAAGATAAAATAGATAATTGTAGTACTTCAACGTCACAATCCCCTATTGTCATTCAAATTCCTACAGCTTTACAATCTTTGCCATCAGAATCAATATCACCAGCTTCGTCATTTGGAACACCTATACCAATTAGTAGAAATCGTAGATCTACAAGACAACTTTTTACATCTAAAAGTCCTACAAATACTTTTAATACTCCTACAATGAAAAACACACAAAAAATAAAAAAATTGAACCCGATTTGGAGAAAAGGAAATTTTTCACAAAATCCAGATTTTATAAAATTTTGCGGGGAAAAACCAATGTCTGACGAATTAAAAGAAATGAAATCACCTAGAGAATTTTTTTGTTATTTTTTTGATAATGAATTATTGTCACATATTGCCGAACAATCTACGCTTTATAGTACTCAACAAAATCCTGAAAAACCAAATAAAATAACGAAAAATGACGTACAACATTTTTTGGGAATAATAACAATGATGTCAATCGTCCATTTGCCAAATACTAGGTCATATTGGTCAGAAAATACTCATAATAAAATAATACGAAATTGCATGAGCGTAAATGTTTTTGAAAATATTAGGCGGTATATACATTTTAACGATAATACTCTAGATTTACCTAGAGATAATCCAAATCGTGATAGAGTTTTCAAAGTTCGGCCACTTATTGATGCACTCAACAAAAAGTTTGGCTCTGTACCTATCGAAGAAAACCTATCATTAGACGAACAATTATGTCCAACTAAAGCTGTATCATACCTCAAACAGTATCTCCCTCTTAAACCTCATAAATGAGGGTACAAATTATTTGTATTATGTGGTGTTTCTGGTTACGGTTATAACTTTGAAATTTATACCGGAAATGAAAATAAAGAAGATGAACGAATTATACGTAATGAACCAGATTTTGGAGCTACAGGCAACGTCGTTGTTAGAATGACTAGAATGATACCGGGAAACGTACACCACAAGTTATTTTTTGATAATTACTATACATCGTTACCAGTTATGATATTTCTTGAAAAAAAAGGCATTCACACAGTTGGAACGTTTAGACGTAATCGTTTTCCAAACGTCTGTTTGACAGATGATCGTATAATGATGAAACGAGATCGTGGATATTCAGAAGAGTGTTTCACAGTTGTAGAAGATGTCCCTATTTCAGCTGTTGCGTGGAAAGACAACAAGATAGTACACGTAACCTCAACTTTCGTAGGCGAACTCGATAAAAATGTAGTGAGTAGATTTGACAAAAAAAAAAAGACCACAATTATTATACCTAGGCCGAAAATCATTGAAGTTTACAACAAACATATGGGTGGGGTTGACCTCATGGATTCTATGATTGGGCGCTATAGAATAATAATGAGGTCTAAAAAATGGTATATGAAGATTTTTTACCATATGGTTGATATGACGATTGTAAATGCGTGGTTGTTATACAAAAAAGTTACAAATAAACCAATGAAACTAGCTCAATTTCGAGAGCAGTTAGCTGTAGAACTTTGTCAGACATCAATGGAAATTAAAAAAAAAGGCAGAAAAACAAAGGAATCGATAGAAAAACAAATGCTAGAAGAGAGTGAAAAAAGAAAAAAAAGGACACCAACAGCAACAATGCCATCAACTCAAATACGTTTGGATGGACATGTACACAGGATTCAATTTGAAAAATTTCGACGCGTATGTAAACTACCAAAATGTAAATATCAGTCATTTGCTAAGTGCACTAAATGCGATGTTTTTTTATGTTGTAACACAGAAAGAAATTGCTTTGATCTATTTCATTATACCTAATTAAAGTTTTTTATTTTTATAACCTACTATAAGAATATATAATATGTTTTTTTAATTTTTATTATTTAATTTGTGTTTAGTAAGTTATCATGTATTTATAATTTTATTCAACAACTGCCTTGTCATTAATTAATATTTTATAAATTGTAAAAATATAAGCTTGGACGCATGGAAGTGCATACCTGCATTTTTTCAAAATTGAGTCAAATTGAGTACTTAGATTTAAAAACTGAATTTTTTAAATAATTTTAATGGATTCTACAGGTAATAATCAATAAAAAAACATTTTTTTTATTTCTTAAAAAAAAATCATGCAGTGAAGGGTTAACTCACTTTATAGAGTAGTGTCCGTGAGCCAAGGTATGTATTTTATCCTCAAGTATAACCCTCTTGTCATCGAAACTATTATAAGTTAATTTGTTTGTTTTAATGGTCTTCAATTTATGTTTGAACGAGCGTATCGATACATTTTCTTTATATATCCCGACGCCGGCTTCACCAAACAGACATCTGTAATGGTCTTTAAAGTTCATATGGTTTTTGACCACATGTCCACGGATTCCTTTCGCCCTGATACTCTCCTTGCCATTGATCTTATATGCATAAGACTTGGCTCTGAGAGCACAAAACTCTGTCATTATTTCTGATTTTGTTTCATCGGAAAACAGACCTGGAATTTTCTTTCGTTCGGCAATGTAACACGGATGATCTTGCGGTAAGTCAGATGTATCCATTCGATCGAGTAAATTGGAATTATTCTCCAGATCTTTGTAAAAATCATCAGTTTGAATATAATATACCAGTGAATCTGTAATAATGTTATTTATTAATATACACATATATATATATATATATACAGTAGAGTAGTTTTAATATATTTACCTGTGTCTGTGTACATGAGCTCAATTTTATCTCCATAATGCGCCTTCATCACATTATAATGATAATCGTACATGACCGTTTTTGAAATTTCCAACACTGCAAAACCTGTTTAAAATTATACATATTAAAATATAGTTATTAATACTAATTTAAAAGTGTTTATTACCTATATAAATAGGCTTGCAAAATTCAATAAATTTATTTTCCAATGATACGACATTAAGAGTTTCATTGTATGTAGTACAGTGTTTGAATGTCGTAAGGTTTATGAGTTTTTGTAAACGTTTTTCATTACAAACAAGTTCCATTTTTATTCTCCGTCTTACAGATTCCATAGTTTTCCCTTTAACGTTACAGAAAATGTTAGTTAAAGAATTTAAAAAAAAAAAAAAAAATCACAAATAAATATACCGAAAACAGCATTATTTAAAAGTTTAAAAAAATCCTTTTCGAAATCGTTTCTCGCTTTCTTGCGCATTTCAGTATTTAAATCTATGTATTTCTTAAGTCAGTCTGACTGATTAAACTGAACAACTCTGTGAACCTATAATTAAACAAAAATATGTTATAAATAAATAAATAAATAAATAAATAAATAAATAAATGAATATGGTACTTTTTCCACAACGAGTCCGTTGGCTATAGCCTGCTATAGGTTCCGGTAATGAATTACATAGTTTTTCTTTGATTCTAAAGTCGCCATAAGTTTTTTAACTTTTGAGCCAGGTGGAATACTATTTTTCGAAAGGAATGGCAATTCATTATGTTTGTCATGAAGTACACTTGGATATGATATATCAACCTCGTATATCCGTCCGATTGGTGATTTATCGTGTAAATTATTTAAGCCCCTTATTGCTGGTTCAACCCACTTAAAGCCTCCGTGTGGCATGAATTGTGACATCGCGTAACCATACAAATTGTTACCTAGAATTTAAAATAATATATTAAACGATATATATATATATTAAATCATTGTATACTTACAATCCTGATAAACAAGCCATGATTTCGGTTTTGTCGAGTCATAATCTGGTGTCTTTTCATTATTAGCCTTTGCATACCTCATGCTTGCCTGAGTCAATCCACCCCGAATTCCTATAACGACATCAGAATAAATTAACCAACACATTTTTTTTTTTTATAAATAATCTCGTTACCTTTCTCAAACATGATCAAAATGTCATAATCATGAATTAATTCCAGTTGTTGGCCAGTGTATTTCAACATACAGTCAAAACTAAATCCAGGTGCTGTATAGTAAAATGATGGGTCAAGGTGGTAAGTGGTTATACAGAGGTCTCGAAAATTTTCAAACACATCAGTCAACAATAGCACATCGATTTTTAAATAAAGGTCAGAGTATTCCCCTAGTGTTTGACAGTCGAAATGGTTCCAAACTATCTTTGCATGTTCATAATCTTCATTTTTTATATGTGATTCTTCCAATAAACTGTAAAAATCTACTTTTGCCGGTAAACTGGTTTCTTCAAGTTTATCCCAGTCATCTGTATAATCATACGGGTATACCCCTTTACGGGTGACTAGTGGTAAATCCTGTGTAGAAAAATGTTTGGCACTATTTCTAAATTTTTCAAATCTGGGCGTAATTAAATTTTTTGAAAGTGTTGATAAACTGGAGGCCATAAATCTTAGTGTATCGATAAATCTTATAGTGAAGGAGTTGCTAATGTATTTTGAAAACGAAATAAACTTTTCTTCACTGTTTGGTATTACCGAAATAGAATTTGTATCATAGCCAAGACTGGTGACAATAAAATGTGCGTCATAATTTGATAAATTATGGAAAAATACCGGTACGAAGTTGGGTGTTCGAAGTTTAAGATTACACGTATTACATAATGACTGTCTAAATTTTCCTGATAAATGGCAATGATCAGCAACTTTATGATTTTCTTGAGAAAACTTGGTTTTACATAAATTACATGTAGTACATGATTCATGTGTTTTCCGCTGTTCGGTTGTGTAAATTATGGGGGTGTTTGTTTTTAGCAATTTTTCAATTTTTTTTGCAATTTCGACAATACTGTTTATAAAATGTTCCGCCACGTCCTTATTATTTTCATTTCCACGATAAATTATAGGTGAAATTGGAATTCTGAATTTCTCAAGCAGTTCAACGGGTATGTCTTCATTTGCCTTGACAATAAATCCATAACTCATGGCTTCGTGTTCTTGAAAAGCTGTTGTTTTATTTCCAATTTTCTCATCGCTTTTCTTGAGAATTGCTTCGAAATCCGCATAAATCACTATAGGATGACGTTGCGTTTTATTCCATTCAGTAAACTCGAGTATTGATCCTGGTTCAGGCATCTTAGGTAATATAGGTTTGTGTTCCCCACATATTAATTTATGCTGCTCTAATCCAGCTACTCCGTTTAATTTAAATTTGTTTTGCTGATTATCGAATGATGTAAAGCACCGTTTGCAAAAAATTGATTGTCCATCATGTTTGGTTTTTTGTGTTCGAATAAGTCGTGAAAAATTGGAGATGTAGATATAGTGACTGTTATCTTCGTTCGATATTAGTAATATATCACATACACATACTCTATCATCAATATTTAATGAGTATATAGTGTTTGTCGTTACCGTTTTTACAAACGTATTCGTGTTGTTTCCAAATTAATCAAAAAGCTAACGGAAATATTGACCATACATTTATAGACATCTTTGTCAGATTTAGTAATGTGGATACATACCTTTAGTTTCACGTCTGAATAATTTTAGACAGAAATTTTTAATACAAAATCCATCAAATTAAAGATATTTATTATTCAAACATTTTTCTAATCTTTTTGACTATTGCATTTATTATTAACGCTTTTACAAAGATCGGGGTCATTCAAAAATTTATACTCAGTAGTATATTTTCAAAGTATACTGTACTAGTATATTTAAGAGCCATATAACATAAGTACAAACAGTTCAAATAGTATAAACAAAAACATCTTATAGTACAATATATTAATATAATGGTTTTGTTTTGATATAGTAAAAATGGAATAAATAATCATTACATATTGTTTATACAATATATCGTGTTGTGTAATTTTATCATCACCTACTATAAGACTTAATATTATAGTATAATCTATATCTAAATTTTGTATATTAAATTTTATAAAAATAATTAAATATGCGTTGGCAGATTATAATGTTATTGAATGTTTAGTACAATAATTTTGATAAATTTCGGAATATGTTCGTAAATAACGAATCAAATTTTAAAAGGTTTCATGCAAAATAGCTGTCGTTTTATAGTTTCTAATAAATATTCTAATCAAAAGCAAATAATTCATTAGTTTTTAAAAACTTTGAGAAAAATTATTTTATTAGAATTAATTTTGCATGTTTATTATACAATCAACATACCTAATATTATATTATTATATCATCGATTTCCGCAAATGCATTGTTGATTTCTTTATTAAATATTCATTTTCATTAAATATAAAATCAATTACTCAATACTCAGGTTTAAATTTAAAGTCTTGATAGATGGTGTATAATTGATGTTGATATTTGTAAGTTTTGTACATTTCCAGAGCGTCTTCTACTAGTGAATTCGTTATTCTATAATAAAAATTAAATACAAATTATAGCGATTATTAATTAAAATTATAATATATATATATTTACCATTGCTAAACTGTATTGATTCCACCTCATATGTTTTCATGTATTAAGTTTTGCACTATTGTATATTGTATCTGGTATGAACTGTATTTGTGGGGAGGTGTTGTTGTATTAACGTTGTGGGTTGATGTTGAAATTGAAGATTTGAGTTATAGGTTGTTGTTGTTGTATGGGTGACGCGGGTTGACATTGAATTTCAGGAGAGGTTGTTGTTATTAGCGTTGTGGGTTGATGTTGAATTTGAGTTATGGGTTTGTTGAATTTGAAATATATTGGAATGTGAAGATTGCTGTATAGAATTTACTGGTGTAATTGTGGTACTGTAAAATCATCTTCTATATCAATATTTTGATAGATTTTGGTCAATTTCATCCAACATATAGTAAAATCAATGCGTTTCAAGCGGTATTGTTCTATTATCTTTTAATATATTAACTGCGTCTTGAGTTTCAGTATTCTCATGTAATGATTCCCATAAAACCTCAGGCGAATAAACAGCTTGTGTTTTCATCATATTTTCTATAATCTGACTTGCAGATATTTTCGAATTTTCACAATATTTTATTTTTCATTAGTTTTATTAAATTTTTAGCTGACTAAACCCCGGCGCCGATGGTTGAATAACGTTCAGGCATTGCATTGAACATTTTGATAGATTTGAAACAGGTGAAGTGAACAAACCCTTAATTTTATTGTATTCTATTTAATAAAATGATTATTAATTATATTACAAAAAAATATAAAATAAAATCATTACCTTTTTTGAAGCCATTATAAAAGATATACAATATTATAATATGGAGATCTGTAGTTGACGTATAATATTTAAAACTTAGCAACCGCGCTAAGTATACCATTCCTCTTTATGAACACATACTGATGTATACTACACCTAAGATTTCAGTTTCTCAGAGCAATATTACGTAACCCA